TAGCCACTATGTGCTTTATTATTTATTTAAAATATTTTTATGAAGTTATCAATAATATAAATTCATATAAACTCAAATGCATTCGCTTAACTACATAATTCACTTCCATTTGTCTTCCAACAAAAAGAAATAAAACAAACATGAGAAAAAAGATTACAAACACTCCTAATTTATCCAATGAGCAACAACTAAAAGAAGAAGAGCAACAACAACAAGCATTAAATATTTGGAACGATCTGCAGCTGTTAATTGACGCGAGCCGCCTTCACTTATGAAAGGAGAAAGAGAAGGCGAGAGAGAGGCACGAGCAAAAAGCTATAGAATATCTACAGACACACGCACACACACATATGTACACACATACAAGCACATTCCATGAATTGGCTACAAAATGCATTTATTTGTTTGTTTGTTGTTATTGGAATTTGTAAATACAAAACAAAATACAAATTGAGCAGAGGCCTAGAGAAATTAGAAGAAGTGAACAAAGGAGGGGGGAAAGAGCATGCAGCAGTGACATGTGTCGACGTCTTTGAGAGGCTCTAGCGAGCACACAGCCGCATTGGCAGCTGGAGGCAGAGCCAAGCAGGATTGGAGGCGGGGGTACAAGGGACACGAACACCGTATTTAGTTGAGCCAGCCAATGCTTGGGCGCAGCAGCAGCAGCAGCAGCAGCACCAACACCAATACCAACATCAAAACACCAAGGCAGACGACATATTACACAAACTTGTGGGCACAGTTGTCGATGTTGCGGTCCCTACGTGTAACTGTTGTATTGCTGTGTATGTGTTGTGGGAGTGTCAACGGCAGCTGCTGCTGCCAACGTAGCAGGCGTAGCGCGAGCTGTGAAAAAAATGCTCATCTTCGAACTCACCACAGCTCCTCAGCTAGACGCTCAGACTCTCCAAGTAGCCACCCCAATCTGACAGCAAAGCAAAAGAAGGAAAAAAAAAACACTCAAAATAAAAATTTCCAATGGAAAGGTGGCTGACAGTGGAAGTGTGGTGATACACGCTCACTCTCATTGCAATGGGCACTCAGTCACTCTCACTCACTCACTCGCACACACACACACACGCACACACTCACTCACTCGCTTACTTGTTCGCTCGCTCGCTCGYTCGTACGTTCGCTCGTTCGCTCCGTCACGAACGGGAGAGCTCATTCATGAAGAGCGAAAAAATTCAAAGGCTGCCTCAATTTTTTTGTGTTTGTTTATTTTATTTTTTCATTTGCCATTCGGTGGTTGATCCTGGCAGCGCCAGCAACGCAACAACGCAACAACGCCGCGGCGCAGCAGCGGGCGGCAGTGACGTCAACGTTGACTGCGGCAGTGGCAGCGCGCGCCAACCAAAACAACAAACCACAATTCACTTACAAGCGACGTTCGCGGTCGCTGCCAACTCGTCGGCCGCAGTCGTCGTTGACGTCGCGTCGCAGCATTTTAAAAATGGCTCTCAATTGCGGCGCGCTCCATCTTGCTCGCCGTTGGCGCTGGAACAGAACAGTTGAACTGCGTTGGAACTGCGTTCGCTCTGAACTTTTTCGCAACGAGCATTTAGTGTTGCCTAGTTAGTGGCGGCATGTGCAGCACGCGGGGCACACGGCATTCCGGCAGCTGTTGCTGGCAAATTATTGATCACCGATCGCCGATCGTCCGTCCGTCGATTAGCGGCCACTCCTTGGAGGAGGGGCGGAGCCAGTAGCTAATAGCGCGTCGGGCGTCTCGCTCGCGCTCCATTGCAGCAGCCATTGGAAACGCTTGGTCGCCTCGCACTCAGCGGACGGTCTGCGTGCGTCTATTTATAAACAACCCCCACAAACAGCGACGGCCACTGATCGATCGTGCGCTCAGCAGTGGTCGTGGCTCTGCTGCTTGCCACTGGTTGGCTGGCCTCAAAACTGTGGCAGCGCCCCCTTCTCCAACTTGTGTGCGTGTCTATGTGTGTGTGTGTGTGTGTGTGTGTGTGAGTGAGTGAGGGTTGGGCCCGATCGCATCGTTCCAGTTGCTCGCACTGCGTTCACGCGCTTCCAATCGTTTGGTCGACTGCGGCGATCGAGAAGAGAGAAAATTGAGGAACGGTTTTTGTTGTTGTTTTCTTTTTTTACAGTGCGGTAATTGAATGATTTTGCATTGGCAATGGAAACTGGAAGAAATTGTGTAGGAAATAATGTGAAATATTTATATTAATTACATTTATATTAAGAGATGTGGATATTTATAAAATAAAAATTAACTAAAATGTAAAAACAATAAAAATGCGAATTTCTTAATATCCCAGACAACTTTATCAATTGAAATATATTTTGATGTATTTAGATAATATATAAATCAATTCGCTATGAATTTGATCATACTAAATGATCTTTTGCTTTAACCGTTAGGGCCAGAATGATTCCCGTTATCGGTTACCGGTTGCCGGCTACAGGTTGCGTCTTACCTGTGACGGTGATCTACTGCCTGGCGGCTCAGATCTTCGCGGATCTGTCGGTTGCTTGTGGGGCGGCTAATCGCCCAAAATATTTGCTGGGCGTGCTGGATAATCCAGGCGATTGACTTTCATAAGTAAAGGATTAAGAGGGAGTGCGGCGCTCGCGATTCCTGATCCGCGATCCGAATGTGGTTTGTCTACCTGTCGAGGCCCGAGGACAGGCAGTGGGTGGCTACCTGATTGCGAAAATGATTTTTATACCAGGGGCTTTGAGCCACAAGAACTAGAAAAAACGATCGTAAAAAAAGGGTGGCAGCTGCAACAAGAGAGAGAGAGAGAGAGAGAGAGAGAGAGAGACAGCGAGAAAAAGAGGAGAGTTTAGGTAGAGCTGCAATGATATTAGAATTTCGTCTGCTGCTTCTTCGTCTGTTTTGCGTCTGATCCGTTTTGCGTCCTGCGGCGCGATGCGCGTGCAATGCGCAGCTTCTGTACGAACTGTTGGAGATCAGCGGGTGTTGAATGAGCCACGCAAATTGCCGTGGAAAACGACAGGATAACGCTGGCGGAACGTACGTACGTACGGCTAGGAGCCCGGCCAGTTCGCTGGAACGGCTAGCTGAGAACAATCAAAGCCTTGCCGGCTACGTCCTTGTCGCACGCTACTTGCGAACCTGTATCACCTCATCCCCGGCCGGGCGCGTCCTTGCCGAGGCTTGTCTTCTTCTCTTCCAGCAGTCGATTGGCCTTGTTGTTGTTGTTGTCACAGCGAGCGGGCGCGCACGCATTGACAGCGACGCCGACGTCGCTGTTGATTGGAAGTGTGCGTGTACTTTCCCGACGCGTCGGCTTCGCTGCTGCCCTCACCCGCAGCGAGGCGCGTTCTCGCGACATTTTGGTTGGCTCGACTCGAGTCACGACCTGCACTTAAGATGATTCCCCTCCCCCTCCTCCACCTTCGTTGCCATCCCCTTCCCCAGCATCCTATCCCACCACACCGGCACCCGCAACGCGCTCTCACAGCTCCCTCTGCCGCTCTCTCGTGACAGTGGCTAGCCAGTTGCTCCTCATTGTGGTTGCCCTGCCATCCATCCATTCGCTGCCGCTGCTCTGCCTTGACTCGCGCTCTCCCGCTCTCCATCTGTCTCTCCTCCTTCTCGTCTGTTTTGTGTGCGGCACTTGTGGCCTCGTTTTAACTTGCTTGGTGCTCCGCAATTTTTTGGGCTGCCGCGAGTTTGATTTGTCGTCCTGGCGGCAGAGGCGCATCGCATTGAATCTGCTCGAGAGGGGGGCACGAATATTTTGGGAATTTCTACTATATCAAAACTATATAAGATGTATTTAGCTATGCGTATAAAATATATATTTATTTTAGTTTGAATATTTATTTATTTTTTATTTTAAGCTTTATATCAAATAAATGCAATATTTACATTCGTTTGCAAAAAATTCTTCGAAATATTAATTTTGTTAATTATTCAGTTTAAATATTGCAAAAATATTGATTTATAATACGAGCATATGTATTTTATTTATATAGTGTATTATTAGTTGTCTGATTTTAAGTTGTTATTAGTTAACTTTTAGCTCAATTATTTCTCAGATTCAATCACTAATTAATTTCTTTGTATAACTTAGCAGAAAAGACTATGTATTGCATGAATTCTCAAAATATTGTAAAATACCATTCACAAAATCATCAGTTATAACAGTTATAAAGAGTAAAATAGAAATTATTAGTTGAAATGAAACGATTTTTATTTATTTAATAAAAGTTATATATCACCATTTATTCGTTTAGTTTCTATTTAATTTTTTTAAATATATACAGTTAAATAATAACT